CGTGGTGGGGAGTCCCCAGCCAGCCCTGAACCCCATCACCCACACAGCTGCCGCCATGCCAAGATCATTTTTATTAACAAAACCAATTAGTGCCGCTCTGTTCCTCTCCAGATGTTTTTTAGCTTCTCTTGCAAGACCAGATGTATCCGGGAGCGGAGTTCCTGGCCCTGGGCCCTGCTCTCCTGCTTCGGTTCCTGGCAAGGGTCTTTGCGTCTCATCCCAAGCTGACGTCTTGGGACCACGGAGGTCCCCCCGTGCGTGCTCAGCGAGAGCTTCCAGGAGAGCCCTGCGACTGCTCTCAGCTTCACAGCCCTGCCCGCAATGGGGCCCTGAGGGGGTGACGTTTGATTTCTAGCTAAACTGGACCCAGGAAAAGCTGCTTCTTATTCCCAGGGCATCCCCCCAACCCTGGCACCAGCGTTACGGGTCACCATCGAACCGGGCATGGCAGGACGGAGCAGGATGTGAATTTACCCATTTCATTTATTAGGACTGGAAAAAGCAGGTGGACATTCATGTCCCACAATTTACATCTTTCCCATAGGTTCTGAGGTTGCATGTGTCCCTCACCATGGGAACGTCCTCGTGGCATGGGCCAGCTCTTGCCTGGAGAGGAGCAAGCCTTGCACAAGACTGTCTGGGCGAGAGCTGTCTCCTCAGATTTTCCTGTAGTCTTTGGGGAGAAAGAGGTCCATTTGGAGGATTCTCCATCTCAGACAACTGCCAGCTTGGCCTGCTGGACACGTCCGTGGCTTCAGAGCTAAACGGTGGCCCAAAATCCACTTCTTGTAGCACCCACATGGTGCTGCTCGCCTTGGCTCCTCTGCCAGGGCTGCAGCGGGGTCTTGCAGCCCAGGAGGGTCCTTGCAGCACGGAGAGTGACCATGCCTGGTCCTCTCCTTCCCAGGTATGGTGGGGCTGGAGGAGACCCATCACCCACCCTAGTGCTTCCATTGCATTGACTATGCAGGAGCTCAACACGTGGAGTGGGCTGCCCAGGACTTGGGGACAGTTGGCTACCAGGGGGGACTGCAGGTGACTCCTAATTTCTACACAGGCTTTAGCGGTTCATCAGCGGGGTGATGAGAGCGACAGCCGGGACAGGGCAGCCTTGGTGGGCACAGCCCGGGTGCAGCAAAGCGAGCACCCAAGGGCAGCAGAGCTCCGTGCAAGGCTGCTGGAGAGGGTTTGCAGCCTGGAATTGCAGCCCGGGATCCCGGTGCCTGTCAGAACCATGGTCCAGGGCAGGAGCGTGGGGCTTGTCCCCTGTGGGTGCAGGGGGGGGGCTGGCAGGGAGCCGTGCCGCCGGTGCCGGTGGGTGCCGGACCCCTCACTCCTCGCCTGGGTGCTCCCCAACTGTCCACTTGGCCTTCATGTCCCGGAAAGGAGTGATGTCCTCATAGGTGGCCATCTGCTCCACCGCCAGGCCCTGCACCAAGAAGAAGGAGGTTGAAACATGGGAGGGGGACCATGGCTTTGGCCACAGCGTATCTCCCATTGGTACGCCCAAGTGGGGACCCATCTCCAGGCTATTCCCCCAGAGATCAGGACAGCTTCTTAGAGGGGAAAAGATGGAGGTAGGTGGCTGGTTGTGCTCAGAGCTTGGGTTGGCTTCACAAGCAGCTCTTTATGGCTGATGTGCAACAAGTGCTTGGGAGGAAGATGCCCTGATGCACCCTGCGAGGGCTGGAGGTACCTAGCAGCCACCCAGCAAAGACACAACGAGCTATTTCAAGGCTCAGATTGATATTACAGAGGTGTTTCTATAATTAATGCAGCATTACCTCGTAGGTGTGGTCCTCCTCTGGGCTTTCCTTGTGTTCACCCTGTGGAGAGGAAACCCACAGATTGGGTGTCACCAGCACCCACTGGGATCCTCTGTCCCCTGTCCCCAGCCTCATCCCCCCAGGCCACGTCCCACAGCTTCCACAGGCAAATCCGTGCAGTCCTCCACCCCCCATTTTAGCTCCCCATTTCCCAGTTCAGCTAGCCCCGCTCCTGTGCAACAGCCCCAAAGCCAGTGCCTGCCTGTCCCCATCCCTGGCAGTGTCCTGCCCGGGATGCAGGACAGCTCTGTGATCACCACAGCGGTGAGGCTGGGGACATCCCCACTGCTGGAGACACCATCACTTACTCTGTCTAGGAAGAGGAGCAGGGGGACGCTGATGAAGACGACCAGCAGGATGGACTGGATGATGATGATGGCGTCTTTCAGGGTGTTCCTGCTCTGGATCTGCTGGATGTTTCTGTGACCTGGGAGCAGCAGCACAGGGAGAGCCCACAGTCCCACCTCTGTGCCAAGCTCCCGGGGAATGGGGACAAGCTCAGCATGGCCACAGGTTCGTGTGTTGGCAGAGCGGATGGATGGGATGTGGGTGACATGCCCTCTGCCGCAGAAGAGATGGGAGCATTGCAAACTGCCCCTGGGGTTGGCATCAGGGACCAGCTCTGGGATGAGACACCTTGGGCAGGACCCACCTCTAGCCAGGACCAGGAAAAATTGGATTTATCAGGGGAATACAGTCCCTGGGATGCGTTTCTGCGGGACAGATGTGCCAGGGCAAACCAGGGAAGGCTGCCCTGCTGCTTGGTGGCTGGCAATGAGCAGAGAAATCTCTGTGGGGCCACAGAGCATCTGCAGTTGTATCTGAAGGGGTCCCACCAGTATGGGAGGTGCAAAGGAGCATGAGGTGGGGTTCATACGGAGGGGGAAAGGGTGAGAGAAGGAGAAAGAGCATCTCCTGGGGTGCATGGAGCATGGGGAGCTCCCACTCACCCATGACTCTGAGCTCTGTCCCGCACAAGTGCGGCTGCTTCTTCTCTGCCGTGAGGTTCTTGCTGTCGCACACGTAGATGCCATTGTCCTCATAGGTGATCCTGAAGATGGTGAAGTTGATGAATTTGTCTTTCCTCTCGATGCTGTAGCGGGAGGTGCTGTGGCCCAGCTCGTAGAGTTCATCGCTGTCCTCCGTCATTTTGTACCACTGCATGCTGTGGGGGTCCTGGGAGTAGCAGATGAAGTGGACGGGCATGTTCCTCTTGGCCGCCACGTAGCGCGGGTGCTGCTGCACCATGGGGCACCCGCTGCCTGCCAGGGGACAAGAGTGGTCATGGCGAGCAAGGACCCAACACCCGGTGGGCATCGGGAAAAAAGCCACTCCCACCAGACCCAGCCCCCAGCATCTCCCAAGTCAAGAGCTTTCCATTTTCATGGATTACACTGCTTCCGAGCGTTCAGCTTGGTGTTGGTGAATCATCATCATCTGGGAGTAGAAATCAGAGGCTTTTGGTGACAACGTGCTCTTAATGGAAACACCAGTTTTCTGTGGGAATGGCTTCACCTGGCTGCTTTTTGGCTGCTCCCACCCCTCTCTGTGTACATCTCGTTAGTCCCAGCTCCAAAATTACAGCCCGCGCTGGCACACACCCCAGAGCCTTTGCTAGAACAGACCCATCTCCCCACCTGGCTTCTCTCACGCTTCCGCTTTTTTTACATTTTGCTGTATTTTGTATTTTTGCCCTTGTTTTGGTCCCAGAGCTGATGAGTTTGAGGGCTCATTTGGGTTGCAGAGTTCATACTTAATACCCCGTGGGTGGGGTGCGTGCGTGAGCCCAGTGCCTGGTCCCAAGCCACATCTCACTCTTGCAACGTGCAAGATGCAGGGATGGGGGAATGTCGTGGAAGAGGTCACAGTCTAAAAATTGCCTCTGTGATGGGGAAGGGCGGTGGGTGGTGGACATTTCCAGCTCTGCAGGGGACCAGCACCTTCGTGGCATGGCCAGCGGGGATGGGAGGTACGCTGGGGACACATGCAGGGAAGAGCCCAATGGGTCTGAGCGGTTACCTGTGCTGTTGCTGGTGCTGTTATTGTCTGCTGAGATCCCACCTGAAAGACAGAAGGGCCATGAGATAGTGGCCAAGAGCCCATGTTGGACAAGCCCATGTAGGATGTCCCATGTAGGACAAGCCCATGTAGGATGTCCCATATGGGATGGCATGTACAGTGCCCACTCCGTATGGGGTGGAGTGCTTGGGAGCATCAACCAGAGCCCCACTCAGAGGACAGAGAGCAGTAGAGATTTGGGTGCAAACCCTGCTATTTCCATCCAATCTTGTGAATTTTCTCTACGCTGCTTTCTAGTTGATGCCCCAGTGAAACCTGCGTTTGCTATGAATAAGTTCCCAGGCCGGCACCTCTCAGAATGCCCCAGGCATACTCACCTCACACCACTTCATTGACACTCTCCATTTTCTGAATCAACCAGAAACACTTTCCCTGCCGGGGCTTCCCTCGGCTTGGAGCCCAGCGATCGCCAGGGTGGGTTCTTGGACCCTGGGACCTGGGACGAGGGCTGGATGGAGCCGTGGGACCCGCCATGCAGTGCAGGAAGCAGGGTGAGGCAGGGACCCCCAGCACCCGTGGGTGCCCCTACCCTCAGCTCCGGTGCCCCTGCGCCTCGGTTCCTCTTGCTGCAGCTGGGCAGGAAGCACCAGCCCTGTTTACTGCACCGCTTCAGTGCCCACCTCTGTCTGCTCGATGAATGCTCGCCGAACCCCACTGCGGGGAAGCTGGCATGGAGGTGGGGGCTGCACCACTCCCAGCACGTTGGGGCAGCTGTCAAACTGCCCCCAAGAAGAAGAAGAAGGAGAAGGAAGGTTCAGTTCCTCAGCTTGAGTTTTGCCCTGAGCCTTGCCAGCCTGCTGCAGACCTTCCTGCCCCAAACAGCAGCCTGGCAGGGACCTCCTCGCTCCCCTCCTGTCCCAGAGTCCGTGCTGCCCTGTTCACCTCCAGCACCTACATCTCTGCAGGCAAACTTTCCCCTCTAGCCTCATTTCACTTTTTTCTGAGATGGGGAGATGCTTCTTCGAGGGAGGTTCTCCTCCCCCTCTACTCTGCCCCAGTGAGGTCCCATCTGCAGTGCTGTGCCCAGTGCTGGGCTCCCCACTTCAACAAAGATGAGGAGCTACTGGAGAGAGTCCAGCGGAGGGCTACGAGGATGATGAGGGGACTGGAGCATCTCTGCTACGAGGAGAGGCTGAGGGAGCTGGGCTTGTTCAGCCTGGAGAAGAGAAGGCTGAGAGGGGACCTTAGAAATGCCTCTAAATAAGCCTGCTCTGGGTGACCCTGCTTGGGCAGGGAGTTAGGCTGGGTGACCCACAGAGGTCCCTTCCAGCCCCTGCCATGCTCTGGTTCTGTGTGATTCTGTGATCCTTGTCCGGGCTGTGTGGTCCCTGACACCTGCAGTCCTGCCGGCCAGCCAGGACACGGGGCTTTGCTCTCCGTGTTTTGTTGGTATTTCTAAATGAAGACCAGGCTGGTCCCTCACCCTGAAAGCCCTCGCACCCCTCCAAGCCAAGATTTCCATTGCAGCCATGAATGGGCTGACCTTCCCCTGTCCTCCCTCAAATCCCCTGCAGGAGCCAGGATGAAACCCTGAGACCCTGAATCCGTGCTGGGCTTGGGTGGAGACCCAGCAGAAACCCTTTGAGTGCCCCTACACCTGAGGACAGAAGTTTCCCCAGCTGAGGGTGAGATCTGCTGCAGATTTTTGTGGGTGTCCCTGCACCCAGCAAGAGAAGCTGGAGGGGGACAGGAGCTGTGTCGTTGGGTTTAGCTGCTGCTTCTCCAGGGGGATGCAAAGGGGAAGAGCACAGGGATGTTCACACAGGGCCCCCAAATCACCCCCAAAAGGCTTTTTCCTCCCATTTCCTCTCCACCTCTGGGCACTGAACCCCGCGGAGTGAAGGGACGTGGCTCGGCCATGGCCTCAGCGATGTGCCGGCCCCTTCCTTAGGCCCCCAAGAGCAATAAATGGTAAAAAAACCCTCAGCCCCTTCTTTCCTGCCACCTGCAACCGCAGCCGGGCAGGCTCCGCTCTGGGCTCCCACGGAGGCCAGCTGCGGGCGAGACAGACGCGTCCCATCCCCACATCCCGACGGGGAGCAAAACCCCCAACCCAAGGCAGACGTCGAGCCCCCGTGGGTCCCCCCCGGCTCTGCTCCCCCCGGGGCTGCCTTCCTGCAGGCAGCAGGGCTGAGCGCGGCCATTGCAAGGTTTAATGCATCCAAAGGCTGCACGAAGGGACGCGCGCCGGCGCATCGCCTGGGCGCTCCTTTCACAGAATCACAGAATCACAGAATAGTAGGGGTTGGAAGGGACCTCTGTGGGTCACCCAGCCCACCCCC